GAAACGGCTAGATCGGTGAACAATCAACTAGATTCGATCGATCATGTGTTGTTCTAACAATTGTCGATGGCGGCCGGCGGAGGTGGCTGGCAACCGGCAGTCATCTTGGGTGGTTGAGTGTATTTTGTTAAATTTTAAACTTTTGTTGTTGGGGTGTTTTAGCTAAATTCTCAAATATAGGGAGTTAAAAAATGTTCTAAGATAGCGTTTGGTTCAGGGTGATATAAGATTAATCCTAAAATCTTTGTTTAATTTTCAAGATTCCCTCATTTGGTTTTCAAATAATAAAATATTACGTAATCTTTTATTGCAAATAGTGTTTACTGTTGGTAATATTGGGGGTAATCAGATTACCTTCCCAAGGGGTGTTATTATAAGATTACCGAGGTAATCTTAATTTTGACCCTGTTTTGCCCTTAATAATTTATCATTTTGGACATATTTGCCCTCATATGTCTACCAAATAACAATTACCCAGACCCCCTACATTTGAGAATTTAGCTAAAACACCCCTGCCACAAAAAAGTTTAAAAGTTAACAAAATACCCCCAACAATCAAAGACCACCGCTGACTGCTAGCCACCACCGCTGGTCGCCGACGAAATTCGTCATATCGACACAAAACCGGTAGGATCTTGTCGGTCGTGTGCCAATAAGGACGTTTCCGACCATGGATTTGTGATCCATGGCCGGAAATGACCAGATGTGCCCGTTTCACGGCCACATCTTTGGCCATGAAATGACCATATTAACGACCAGATCTAGTAGTGAAACGACCATATTCACAGCCAGATCTAGCCGGATTAGGCCTTATCGGCGTACGACAAGCCAGATCTAGCCAGATTAGGCCTTCTCGGCGTACGACCAGCCAGATCCGACTGGTTGTACGCCATTACAGCGGCTTCCGGTGGTGGTGGTGCCTGCCGGCGGTGGCTTGGGGTAAGTGGGGGGTGATTTTGTTATAAATTAAAGTTGTATATGGTTGGGGTGTTTTAGTAAAATTTCAAATATAGGGGGGTTAAAAGAAATTTAAAAAATAATAGAATAAAATAATAATAAAAATAATATTATATTATTATTTAAAAATGAGGGCAATTTAGTAATCTATATAACATACCCACTCATTTATCCTCCTAACCAAACATATTATTATAACATACCCCTCAAGTTATTCCAACCCACCAAACATATTTCTCTAAAGATTCCCTAGTAATTTATCTTTCCAGTAATACAACATTTCTCAATAATATAACATTCCCTGAACCAAACGCATCCTAAATAATAACAGGTCAATATAATTTGGTTAACAACAAAGCTACGGACGCCGAAAATTTTACACTGAAAATTTGTACCGGTCTATGTGTACCAGGCACCTAATTTTTTTATCAATTTTTTTCTAGTCGCCGTCCATTAAATTTGGACGGGGTCCATATATCAGGGACAGCGTCTCCATTTAAGGACGCCCGTCCATAAGTAAAATATAAATATTTTTTTATAAAAATTAGGGACGACCGTTCATCCGTTATGGATAGCCTTCCCTTCATTTTGGACGGCACCCGCAAATAAGGGACGCCTGTCCTTAACCAATATGAAATAAAAAAAAAAATTTGGGGACGGCCGTCCATAATTACGTTTGGACGCGTTCATTCCCATACTTTTAAAAAAAAAAACACCTTCTTCACTCTTCTTCTTCTTCTTCGCCAAGCCAAAAACCACAGTAACATCTCTCACAATATAGCTCATTGATCTCCATGGATCTTAACCCAACAATGCTTAGGAATAGCAACTCTAATATCAGATAATTTAAAAGAGAGGCGCAGCAGGGTCAAACTCACCACCATCTTCTTCTTCTCTAACTCCATTGATTTTCTCCTCCCTTAAGATCATTTCTGACCCAACCTGCTTGCATTGAACACCGTATGCTGAATTCTTTGACGGCAAGGGGGAGTTTGGAGGACTTTACCAGAGTCGGGAGACTGCACATCTTAGAGAGAGGTCAAAATCAGAAAGCATTATATGCCCATCTTCCCTCACCAAGACTTCTCTGCTTAAGGTCTCTATCAATATCCAAGCATGTGCAAATACTCCAAAGCAAGAAACTTCTGCCATATAAACCTGAGGATGAAAGAGCTATAGTAAAAAATTAATATTTAGCCTGGTTATTCTCTGCACAATTTTTATGAACTACAGTCTCATCTTAAAAAAGACATTTTTTGCATTGTTCATGCATATAATCTTCTACAAGCCACGGCCCAAAATTTTTAAGAGATTTAATATCCTACCAAATCAGTGATATTTTTACCAGAGTCGGGAGACTGCATATTCTAGAGAGAGGACGCATATCGGGTGAAAGATCTAATGATAGTAATGATGGGAGAACAATGTTGATTGATAAGAGGTGCATGGTTCTGTTCGGTTGCATGGTGAGAATTTCGTTCGAAGAGGGAGAAGCGAATATGTTTGTTGCTCAACATCATCCAGGGATGGGTAATATTCCCAAGCTACAGAAGGTGAGCAGGTGGTAGCAGGTGGTCGGCCTGTTGGCCACAGTGGCTGGAGAGGCGATCAGGGGATGGGTTCCACGACGTGCAGATCTTTTTGAGAAGCCGACAAAGTAAGCTTCTTCTTCTTTGATCCATTAATAGCTTCTTCTTCTTGTTTTTTTTTTTTTTTTTTTTAAAGTATGGACGGGAATGGACGCCCGTCCAAACGTTCTTTTTTTTTTTTTAAAAAAAAAGTATGGACGGCGCGTCCATTCCGAAGGACGCTCGTCCAAACGTAAGGGACGGCCGTCCAAAATTTATGGATGGCCGTCCCCAAATTTTTTTTATTTCATATTTTGGTTAAGGGCGGGAGTCCCTTATTTGCGGCGCTCGACCAAATAAAGGATGGCCGTCCATAACGGATGAAAGGCCCTCCCTAATTTTTTTTTTAAAAAATTTATTCCATTTTACTTATGGACGGGCCTTTAAATGGGGACACCATCCCTGGTATATGGACCCTCTCCATATAATATGGACGGGAGTCCATGTGAGTGAACGACCGTGCAAATTTGATAGACACCGTTCACTAGAAAAAAATTGATAAAAAATCAAGCGCCTATTACACGTAGGCCGTACACATTTTGTGTAAATTTTCTGTGTCCGTAGCTTTGTTGTTTGGTTAATGGGGCCATTGTGCTTGGGCAATAAGTTAAAGAGTTTGAAAAGATAATTGTAAAACCATTTTAATATGTTTTCTTTTAAGCTAATTAGCTTTGTAGCCCTATATTTCCAGTTTTTCATTTTATCGATCGCACACGCTTTAGCAATTTTTGATCTAGCTCTAGTCATACACACAACTGCCTCAAGCATGACAGTCAAATGGTCAAGAAGAGTGCTCATTTTAAGAAACTATAGTGGCCATGGGTGTAACTGCAAGAACATATATATATCTATGTTTTGGGAATAATTTTTAACGTTTAGACATGACTTGGATGAGAATATAAAAATTATAGGCCCTACTTTTTAACTATTTCCATGAATTTGTTTCTTTTGCCCAAGCAATTTGCAATTATTCAACTTGTTCTTCATTAGATCCCAGACCTTTAATTGATTAATCTAAGGCTAAAAATTGATTAAGAATATGTGTAAAGTTGAAGGGCTACTAATCCTCGTCTCATAAATCTATATCTTTCATGATAGAAACTTACTTAAAAACTGTCCATTTTTTGTCTTTTTGTTTTAGTCATATTTCATTTCTCAAAATCAAAAGTGATTTAAAATTATGAAAAACAAACACCTAGTAGATTATATTATTTTTAAAAGTAGATCTATAAGTGATTACGAGACAAGTTACAACAATCTAAAATCATATAGGACAAATATTCCCAGAAAGGGGTGAATAGAAATTTATAAAAATAATTTGCGGAATAAAAACTATCGACAACACCAATGAATAACAATGAGTTTAAATAATAAATGACAATAAATAAACTCAACCAACAATGAATGACAATGTTAATGAATAAACAATGTTAGAGCAATAAATGCGAGAGAGAGCAAATATGGTGATAATGATGTTCGAGTAAATATGCAAGAAATAATAAATAAGTTGAAAGAGAAGAAATGCTCATAGATTTATAGTGGTTTGGAGCTCTATCCACAAGCCTCCGATATTCACTTCTTCAAGATAACCTGCTTGAAGATCTACTAGAATCGGATTACGCCAAGCAAATCCACTAGAATTGGATTGCACCAAATACATTAGTTTGACATGATTTCACATTTTTTACAATAGTTTAACAAAAATTTCGCATCTACATTTACAGGATTTTGGCCACAAGATGTTTGAATAAAAACACGTGAAAGACTGCTTCTTAAATTAGGGTTAAACACACAATATCAATTATACATGGTAACCTAATATACTAACCAACGTGGTAAGATAACACAATCTTTGTGATATGGTAACAAAATATACAAGTATACAACCAACATCTCAATAGTAACTGTATGGTTATTACTGATTGCGAATCATTTAATCATATGGACAAAACAAGTATCAAAGTTTGAATCAATAACAGATTGTATTACTCCATAAAGTCCAAACTACAGGGGATGTTTCAAAAATCATACTAAATGTCAAAGGAGTTTTGTCAGCAAATTAAACCAAAAAAGTCAATAAAGATACCTAATGAATTTCAATACAATTTTACTTTGCCTTTATTGAATTTAAAAAATGAAAAAGATCGATTTTTTTAACTGCAATAAAACTCAGGAATTAAACTCGTGAGAGTGGATAGAGCAAACTAGCCAGCCAGCTAATATGAACAGCTTGTATGCAATAAAAGAAATAAAACAATGGCTAATTCGAGTCACCCAGACTCCAAGAAAAAGAAATGACTAGAATTTTCCCCTCCTACTTTATTGACTTGATAAGCTTTAAATACAAGTAGAAGTAAAACAAAATCCTACTAACCAGCCACGTGCTCCTAATAGTTGTTAAAAAAGAGAGGAAATAATAGCTAAAAGAAGGGAAATAGAAGCTACTCTAACTAGTCCCGTAAAGAACAGTTCATACTAAAGAAACAATCCTTATTGACTTCCAGCTAATCTCTAGCTCATCCATATATTGCCTTAGAACACCTATTTGCTAATTGTTATTTAATTGGTTTGCATCAAGTTTCTCTCTTGAATTTTTAATATAAACCAACAGTTTCTGAGGGTCAGGAACATTTTCTTTGATGACAGTAACTTCCTTGAAGTTGTTAAACCATGCATATAACCGAGGGAGAGTGGTTGGTTCCAGCAATTTTATACCAATAACTTCTTGAATGGTCTCAAACCAATGAGGCAGCCAGCCATGCGCAATGTCTACAAGATTGATAGCATCCCCACCAAAGAACATCTTATCTCCAAGGCCTTGTTCTTCCAAGACTTTTAGCACTTCCAAGAACTCTTTTCCTGCCTTGTCTTGCTCTTCTCCAGTAGTTTGGAAAAGTGAGTGGAAAGTAGAAGCCTAAATCCATGTCCCCAAAATTCATTAAAGAAGTTTTCAAGCACAACTTGGATGTAAGCAATCAAAAGAAGAAAGATTCGTGGGTTAATTTAATTACCTTTTCGACACCATATTTAACCCAAAAGCGAGCTATGGCTTTCTCATAAGCATCAGTTGGCAGCAATGGATTCTGAGGCCATATTTCTTCAATATATTCAAGGATGACAAGTGACTCGGCGATTGGTTTTCCACCATGAACAAAGACTGGGATTTTCTTGTAAACAAAGAGCAATTCACTCTTGTTTGGAAAGTTTTCTTCTATGTACTCGTATTCAACACCTTTCAGTTTCAGTGCCCATATCACTCTGTGGCTAAATGGGCTTCCCCAAAATCCATGTAGCTTCGCTTCTTTCATTGTGAAATGAAGATTCAGTCTTACGGTCAATATATATTTGGTTAACAACAAAGCTACGGACGCCGAAAAATTTACACTGAAAATTTGTACCGGTCTATGTGTACCAGGCACCTAATTTTTTTATCAATTTTTTTCTAGTGAACGGCCGTCCATTAAATTTGGACGGGGTCCATATATCAGGACGAGCGTCTCCATTTAAAGGCGCCCGTCCATAAGTAAATAATAATAATTTTTTTTATAAAAATTAGGGACGACCGTTCATCGTTATGGATAGCCGTCCTTCATTTTGGACGGCACCGCAAATAAGGGACGCCTGTCCTTAACCAAAATATGAAAATAAAAAAAAAAATTTGGGGACGGCCGTCCATAATTACGTTTGGAGGGCGTTCATTCCCATACTTTTAAAAAAAAAAACACCTTCTTCACTCTTCTTCTCTTCTTCGCCAAGCCAAAAACCACAGTAACATCTCTCACAATATAGCTATTGATCTCCATGGATTCTAACCCAACAATGCTTAGGATAGCAACTCTAATATCAGATAATTTAAAAGGAGGAGGCGCAGCAGGGTCAAACTCACCACCATCTTCTTCTTCTCTAACTCCATTGATTTTCTCCTCCCTTAAGATCATTCTGAACCCAACCTGCTTGCATTGAACACAGTATGCTGAATTCTTTGACTGCAAGGTGGAGTTTGAGGACTTTACCAGAGTCGGGGAGACTGCACATCTTAGAGAGAGGTAAAATCAGAAAGCATTATAGCCCATCTTCCCTCACCAAGACATTCTCTGGCTTAAGGTCTCTATCAATAATCCCAAGCATGTGCAAAACTCCAAAGCAAGAAGAACTTCTGCCATATAAAACCTGAGGAGTGAAAGAGCATATAAGTAAAAATAATTAATATTTAGCCTGGTATTCTCTGCATCAATTTTATGAAACTACAGTCTTCATCTTAAAAAAGACATTTTTGCATTGTTCATGCATATTAATCTTCTACAAGCACGGCCCAAAATTTTAAGAGATTTAATATCCTACCAAAATCAGTGATATTTTTACCAGAGTCGGGGAGACTGCATATTTAGAGGAGGACGCATATCGGGTGGAAAGATCTATATGATAGTAATGAGGGAGAACAATGTTGATTGATAAGCAGGTGCATGGGTCTGTTCGGTTGCATGGTGAGAATTTCGTTCGAAGGGAGAAAACGGAATATGTTGTTGCTCAAACTCATCCAGGGATGGGTAATATTCCAAAGCTAAGAAGGTAGAGGTGGTGGTAGCAGGTGGTCGGCCTGGTTGGCCACAGTGGCTGGAGAGGCGATCAGGGGATGGGTTCCACGACGTGCAGATTCTTTTGAGAAGCCGGACAAAGTAAGCTTCTTCTTCTTTGATCCATTAATAGCTTCTTCTTCTTGTTTTTTTTTTTTTTTTTTTAAAAGTATGGACGGGAATGGACGCCCGTCCAAACGTTCTTTTTTTTTTTTTTTTAAAAAAAGTATGGAGGGCGTCCATTCCGAAAGGACGCTCGTCCAAACGTAAGGGACGGCCGTCCAAAATTTATGGATGGCCGTCCCCAAATTTTTTTATTTTCATATTTTGGTTAAGGGCGGGAGTCCCTTATTGCTGGGGCTCGACCAAAATAAGGATGGCCGTCCATAACGGATGAAAGGCCCTCCCTAATTTTTTTTTAAAAAATTTATTCCATTACTTATGGACGGCGCCTTTAAATGGGGACACCATCCCTGGTATATGGACCCTCGTCCATATAATATGGACGGGAGTCCATGTGAGTGAACGACCGGTGCAAATTTGATAGACGACGTTCACTAGAAAAAAATTGATAAAAAAATCAAGCGCCTAGTACAGTAGGCGGTACACATTTTCGGTGTAAATTTTCTGTGTCCGTAGCTTGTTGTTGGTTAATGGGGCCATTGTGCTTGGGCAATAAGTTAAAGAGTTTGAAAAGATAATTGTAAAGACCATTTTAATATGTTCTTTTAAGCTAATTAGCTGTTAGCCCTATATTTCCAGTTTTCATTTTATCGATCGCACACGCTTTAGCAATTTTTGATCTAGCTCTAGTCATACACACAACTGCCTAAGCATGACAGTCAAATGGTCAAGAGTGCTCATTTTAAGAGAACTATAGTGGCCAGGGTGTAACTGCAAGAACATATATATATATCTATGTTTTGGGAAATAATTTTTTAAACGTTTAGAGCATGACATTGGATGAGAATATAAAAAAATTATAGGCCCTACTTTTAACTAAATTTCCATGAATTTGTTTCTTTGGCCAAGCAAATTGCAATTATTCAACTTGTTCATATCATTAGATCCCAGACCTTTAATTGATAATCTAAGGCTAAAAATTGATTAAGAATATGTGTAAAGTTGAAGGGCTATAATCCTCGTCCATATCATAATCTATATCTTTGTCTTTATGGTTGTCACCATGTGACTCAACACTACGTTATTCAAGTTCTAATATCCCCTAATCCCATCAGAAAAGTCATTACGCAACAATATTTCATTTTGTTTTTTTTTTTTTTTTTTTTTTTTTCCCTTATTACTATGAGTGTTTGGCAAGCTTATTTGTATCTCAACTAATCTCCTGAAACCGGAACTATCGGTCAGATAAGAACTTTAATGATTACCTCTATTAGAACCTAGGAAGAACTCGAACTCAAGAACTTTGAGTAATATACCCAAAGTCCCTTTGAACTACTCGACACCCTATTAGCAACAATATTCATTCTGCTTTTAAGCATCTGTAAAGGAGAAAATTCATGCATTTAGACAACAATGTAGGAGTGCAGACAAATGCAATATTTAAATGGTTACATAGCAGCTTTATCAAAAGAGGAAAATAAATATCCATTAACATCAAAATGTTTTTAGAGGAAAAAAGAAGTCAAAAGCACCCTTCAAATACCTTCAGGGTGCGTTGTTTCGGGGGCATAAAGATAACACCAATAATCTATCTATTTTCTGAAAATTACTACGTTGGATGTCGGGTAATGAAAAATTACGATAAACTTTCAATACCAATAGTGGTTACTGTAGGTAAGAAAAGGGTAATTCAATTACCATATGGGGTGGTGTTATTTTTCCTTACCCATGGTAATCAACTGTTCATACAATTTTACCCTTAATTAATAAACAATTTGGACACAAATGCGCTCATATGTTACTAAATAACAATTAGCTCAAATGTGCGAAGTGACTTTTTATCTCATATATTATTTTTTAGACATAAATACCCTCACTATTACATGGTAATACCCAAAATACCCCTAGCCACCTAGATAATTGCTGGCAGTCGCCACACACTGGCAATCGTCGGAATAGCACACGATCAGTCGGATCACGCCAATTGTGCCCTTATCTAGCTGTTTCCAACTAGATCAAAGGCCAGAAAATGACCAGATGGTTTTGACCTGAAAAGACTAGATCCATGGCTATAAATGACCACAGATCTAGCCGTTTTTGGCCAAACCCATAACCATTAATGGCCATAGATATGGTTTAATGGCAGAATGGATCTGGCTTTTCGGCCAGGTCCATGGCCATCTACCGTTTTTGGCCTTGATCCGGTCGTTTTCAACCTTTGATCTGGTGGAAACGGCTAGATCGGTGAACAATCAACTAGATTCGATCGATCATGTGTTTGTCTAACAATTGTCGATGGCGGCCGGCGGAGGTGGCTGGCAACGGCAGTCATCTTGGTGGTTGAGTGTATTTGTGTAAATTTTAACTTTTGTTGTTGGGGTGTTTTAGCTAAATTCTCAAATATAGGGGAGTTAAAAAATGTTCTAAGATAGCGTTTGGTTCAGGGTGATATAAGATTAATCCTAAAATCTTTGTTTAATTTTCAAGATTCCCTCATTTGGTTTCAATATAAAATATTACGTAATCTTTTATTGCAAATAGTGTTTACTGTTGGTAATATTGGGGGTAATCAGATTACCTTCCCAAGGGTGTTATTATAAGATTACCGAGGTAACTTAATTTTGACCCTGTTTGCCCTTAATAATTTATCATTTTGGACATATTTGCCCTCATATGTCTACCAAATAACAATTACCCGACCCCCTACATTTGAGAATTAGCTAAACAACCCCTGCCACAAAAAAGTTTAAAAGTACAAAATACCCCCACAATCAAAGACCACCGCTGACTGCTAGCCACCACCGCTGGTCGCCGACGAAATTCGTTCATCGACAACAAAACGTAGGATCTTGTCGGTCGTGTGCCAATAGGACGTTTCCGACCATGGATTTGTGATCCATGGCCGGAAATGACCAGATGTGCCCGTTTCACGGCCACATCTTGGCCATGAAATGACCATATTAACGACCAGATCTGTAGTGAACGACCATATTCACAGCCAGATCTGCAGGATTAGGCCTTATCGGCGTACGACAAGCCAGATCTAGCCAGATTAGGCCTTTGGCGTACGACCAGCCAGATCCGACTGGTTGTACGCATTACAGCGGCTTCGGTGGTGGTGGTGCCTGCGCGGCGGTGGCTTGGGGTAAGTGGGGGGTGATTTTGTTATAAATTAAATGTGTATATGGTGGGGTGTTAGTTAAAATTTCAAATATAGGGGGTTAAAGAAATTTAAAAAATAAGAATAAAATATATAAAAATAATATTATATTATTATTTAAAAATGAGGGCAATTAGTAATCTATATAACATACCCACTCATTTATATCCTAACCAAACATATTATTATAACATACCCCTCAAGTATTCCAACCCACCAAACATATTTCTCTAAAGATCCTAGTAATTTATCTTTCCGTAATACAACATTTCTCAATAATAACATTCCCTGAACCAACGCATCCTAAATAATAACAAAATATTAACAAGGAAGGGCAATTCAGTAAAAATCCCTCAATATATTTTATTCCTTTCAATCAAATATATTAATTATTTATACTTATCAATCTAACCAAACATATAGTATAACATTCCTCCATTATCATCGAGGT